CCTTGCCTCTCTTCAATCATGAACCGTCGCCGGTCGAAGCGACGGGCGCGCATGTACTTACTACTGACTCGACATCACCTTGCGCGGCAGCTCACAATCACAACAAAATGTTGCGCAGCGACGCACCCTCACACTTGACCTCCCCTGCCCTCACCGCATCCATCTGATAATCCTATTTGGTCGCTCGCGAGCTCCATTGCGCTGTACACACCAGCAAGGAACATCTCACCCATCCGCTACCATCTTGTCGAAGAGTGGAAGCAGCGCTGGAGCAGGATTCGGTGGGCCGATCTGTGGCGAGGTGCAACGAGGGAGGATATTTGTCAAGCGTTGAAGCCGCGTTTCTGCCCCTCCACGGTGGTACTTGGGACGTTTTACGATCAAGTAGTAACAGTCGAGTCTGTTTGTTCGAGAGGTCTGCTCGCTCAATCCAGTGCAGGACTTGGAGTAGCCAACAACGAGTTCGGAAGCACAAGATGGCCTCTTCCAAGTTGGCGTACTGCTTCGACTGGTGAGTAGCCGAGTCATCACTTCTCCTCAGTGACGCATACATCCAAGGCATCGTTCTGATGCGGCACGCTACGTCTCGTTAGTTCCAACCTGTTGTATCCCAAGGTAAGCCAGTTTCCTTCACACGTGTGCTTGCGCGCCAAGTGACACTGAGCTTGGCGCGTTATTTGAACATGACAGGTGGATCGTACGAATCACGTTCTGCTCTATGCTTGCAGAAACTGCTCTTACTGGGTCGAAGCTGAAGAGACCAAGACTTGGAGCAATGATCTGATGAGCGTGCAAAAAGAACAACAGGGAGTGGTGGATGGTCTGCCTCAGGATCCCACGTTGCCTAGAACCCACGAGCATCCTTGCCCTCGATGCGGTCACAGCGAGTGAGTTGAGACGGTGGAGGTGTTTCGCTAGATCTTGCGGGGGCGGTGTCGCCATGCAAATAGGGCCAAATGGCTCTATGGGGATTGGGTGTGCAGACAGCAGCGGCATCTTCCGTTGCTCGGGCCATCCTTGCTCGGGCAACGATTCTAGGCTAGATCGAGGATCCCCCAACTTTCGCAAAGCTGAACAGTGGAAACTGCTTCACCTCTGCCAGAGCTGTGTTCTTTCAAGATCAGGGCAAGCGTATCCACAATCGTATGATCCTCTTGTGAGCCAACGCTGTGCATCCCTTGGAGCATGCTTCAGACGCTTTGCTCACGATAGCCTCGCACATGTACGCATGTTGCTCAGCTACGTGTGTGCAGATTGCAACCACACCTTTCACGCTTGAAGTGAATCAGGTGTACGAGAAGCAACCTCTTGGAGCACATCAGTCATGTGGCCGTCGTGGCGTTGCCTATTTGAAACTCAGGGGGAGCAGCTCGAACGACAGATTCACTTCCGATTTGAGATATCAAACCCCTATACGCATGCTTTTCTGCGCAAAGCTCTGGGGACGCTACCGCAGAGGGGAAGCAGACTGATCTTATGCACACATCAAGCCTTATCGCAGCCCCCTTTCCCTCCATCGCCTGAAGGCACGACAACCCATCACATCCAAAGTCACGCCAGATGCGCGCTGACAGGCTCGTAGGTGGCACCTTATTGTTTTTTTTTTCCCTGCATCGATTTTCGATCCCCTCCCCGCAATGCTCTTTCCTGACGAATGTACAACAGCCTCAAGTATACGCTTTCCCCTCCTTGTGCGCACACAAAATGCCAAAACTCCAATTTATGCAGTTACTGCGCATTTGGCGGGTCCCACCTTTTTGGTGCTCGACACATGTCGCTTGCCCAGAGGCGATATAGCAAGACACACGACGGATTCGAGTCTGCGAGAAGCTAGCCTTCCTTGCTGCTATTCGGCGGTGGCGCGCGTAGAGATGAGGATGGGTATTGGATTTGCCATTGCATGAGGGCTAGACCGGGTGTGAAGGAGCGTTGTTCAAGTGATGAAGCGAAGAGGAGATGGTGACCTGATCAAAATGGTGCACGTGTATGAAGCACATGTACAGAGGCGACCATGCCCCCACTGATGTGCTCGCTCATCTATTTGGCGTTGGACGAAGCACCAGGCGCCTTCGACCCAGCCGGCGTCTTGGATGCCGAGGCAGGCGCACTCGAAGTCGCATTGTTGCTCGCGTCAGCAGTAGCAGCAGCGGTAGTGCTCACATCGATCTGACCCGAATGGCTCTTGACCAGTTCCTTTGCCGGTTTCTGCGCCGGATGATCTTTAGGAACATTCCCGCCATCTTTGCTCCTAGCACCTTCGGGCAACGGTTGAAGGACGGTCAAGCCAGTCAAGCCTTGCGCAATGTGCTCTTCTCCCCTCACGCGCAAAAACTCTTCCAACAGCTTGCAGTTGCGCGAATTGGCTCGCCAGACTGCCAGACCAATGTCCCCCACGATTGGCACTAGTCCAACCACTACGGACACGGCATTGTTGGCTGCCATGCGGCGCACGACCCAGTCTGGCAGACTGATTGAGATTATACAAGACAAAGTTGAGCGCGGCACCAAGGTGAAGCAGCGATGCTTTGACGACATGCACTCACTCTGCGCCCTTCTTGGAAGGCTTGAGGATCAAAAAGTAGTTCAAAGCAGCATCGGTCGCATCTCCCACGCCGGGAATGATGCCGATGATGGCCTAGTCGGTGGTCGAGCGGAACATGGTGTAAGCATGTACAAACGCGAAGCATCAAGGCCCAAGTAGAAGAAGCATAGACGCATAGAAGCGCCAATTCACCGTCCATCCGAATCTGAAACCGCAAATGGTAAAGCCCTTGTCTAGGTAATGTGCCCTTCTAGCAATCTTCCTCAACAATTTGGCTTCTTGCTTTGTCAAGCCTGGTGGAGGCGGGCGCTGGACAAGGAAGGGCAAAGCGCGTTGAAGGCCTACAGTCAGCCCGCGCCCATCCAGGTCGGCTCGGATCCGAATGTGAGAAGACGTGCAGAAGCAGAAGCGAAACGCACCTTTCTTCGCTTCTCTTTGCCATTTTTGTCAACGTATTCTTCATAGCTGCGCAAGGACAAGCG